ATGGGTGATCGCAAGCAAAGGGCTCCAAGTCTGTAGTCAGGGACTGAAAGTCCTCACGCCCTTCCTGACTGTCACTGCCGCCATCATCGAAGTCCATTAGACAATTCACACAATTGACTCAAATTGAACTACCTGAAACTCAAATGATGTCTTACAGATTGGCCATGGTTTAGGTTTGTGATCTCTTACTGATTGTCCATGGTTTGGCACCATTGCTGCACTGCAATTCAAACATCATTTGTTCAAAGCCTGAAGATTGTTTGGTTTCATTATATATAGTTTTTTTTCAATTGAAGTCAATTGATCCAAATCTGGCAGGCACATACCAACTCACCAATGTGCGAACAGCAATGAATGACTTCCGGCAGTCTTGACAGTTCAACTGTTCAACTTCACCATCATCATTGCACAAGTGTAAAGAATTCAGAAAGTCAGTGAAGTTCCAGCCTTCTCACTCCACAACGAAGCCTGCAGAAAAGTAAGCTACAGAAACAACACAAGTAAAAAAAGGAGCTCCAGCACAAGCTTTTAACGATTCAATGAAAGCAGCTTGCAATAGCAATAGCATAACAATGCATTTTCCCCATCATCTCTTCCAATGGAGCTTCAGACCAACGCCTTTGCTGCTGGCAAACCACAATTGCAACTCACACACCTCAATTGATGGCAATTGACACAAATGAAGTGCGTCAAAGCTAAAGTGGTCCGGCATTTAGCTGACTCCACTGCAGAGAGAATCCCCCCCAAATGAGACAAACTATAAAATTCGATGATGGCCAGCCAATGGTTCAAAAAAACAAAATTGAGATTATACTATAGACAACTCATAAACAACTCTGCTGCAACTTAAAGTTTCCTCACTGGCTTGACCAAGCCATCTGCCAACTAGATTGGGCCAAGTTCAGCCATCGGATCATCTGCCAGTCACTCACTCAGACTCACACGAAGTCCACAACCTCGAAGTCATCCGCTCCTCGAACAGCTCGATCACCAGCCGGGGGCGTGATCTGGCAACGGAGAGGGCAACACTCTTCGAAGTTGGATGTTGCTGTGTACCAGCTCTCCATACAAGAAAGATGATATGTGTGGCCGCACCCAAGTGTCTTCATCGCGCCATTGGTCATCTCCTGCTGGCAAATCAGACAAATGGGTGGGCCATCTCCATCTGCAGCTGGCACAGTCACAGCTGCTGCCTCAGCAGCTGGGCTAGGCTCGACAGCCAGGTCCACAGCTGGGCTAGGCTCAGCTCCCTGGGCATCTCCATCTGGGCTAGGCTCAGCTGGTGGAGTGGCATCTCTCACAGCTGCCTCAGCAGCTGGGCGGGCTGGAGCTGGCGGAGCAGCTGCCTCAGCAGCTGGGCTGGCTGGAGCTGGCGGAGCAGCTTTGCTTGTTGTCACAGCAATTGGGGCAATTGACGCAATTGACGAATTGCGCGCAGGGGGGTGAGGCAACGCCGGCACAGGTGCTGCAGCCGGACGCCTGCCTGCAAAGAACTCAGCAACACTGGGCGGAGGAGCCTTTGCGCAAGAAACAGGCTTCAGGAACTCATCTTTCCATCCCTGAGCAACAGCCACATCATTGACCTCGGCATCCCCCAAGACCAACGGAAGCTCCTGGACGATGTTGTCAGGAAACCCTTCGCAGGAATCCTTGATCCTGTCATGGGCCTTCTTGAACCTGTTGCCAAGATCCTCATACGAGGTCACACCTGGGCGATTGATGGTGAGATGGGTACAATAACTTTTGACTGATGTTGAAGAATCTCTATCATTGTATATTTTACATTATTAATATATAAATGTATATAAACATTTCATTGTCATTGGATGACATTATCTGTGGCTGCAAAGACACAACAACTCAACACAACATGGCCAAACAGGGACAACCTAATGAACTACACAAACAACAACTAAAGTATTAATAATCGTAATCTAAAACAACAACACTGATTGATTCTCACCAAATCACGAAGATTCGAACTCTTGAGAGATGGCTTTAACTTCGTGATGATCCAGAGAAGCTGAAGAAGACCTCGCTGGGTGAGGCCACTGGTGTGGCCGGCATCCAGGGCTGGCACCAACTTCTCAATGGAATAGGAAAGTCTTGTCATGGGAATGCCTGACAACCACAGGAAGCAGACCATATGACCATTCATGAAATGAACATTGCACAATTTTATCTTGCAAACATTTTACCATTTTCCCACTAGCATGGTAACTAAAACAAACATATGATCATCATATCAACATAAATTAAAAACATAGGATCATCATATCAACATAACTTAAAACAAACATAGGATCATCATATCAACATAACTTAAAACAAAAATAGGATCATCATATCAACATAACATAGGATCATCACATCAACATAACTTAAATTCAATCAAACATAGGATCATCATATCAACATAACTTAAAACAAAAATATGATCATCATATCAACATAACTTAAAACAAACATAGGATCATCATATCAACATAACTTAAAACAAAAATAGGATCATCATATCAACATAACATAGGATCATCGTATCAACAAAACTTAAAACAAACATAGGATCATCATATCAACATAACTTAAAACAAAAATAGGATCATCATATCAACATAACATAGGATCATCATATCAACAAAACATCGGTTACATACATGTCCCACCCCAGGCCTCTGATCATACTTGCAGACCTTGTGATGGCAGCATCATCACTCTTGTTGTAAGGGAGCACAGGCGGCGGCTGGTGCTCAGGCTGAGCAGGGACAGGCACAGCAGGAGCCACAGGCTGCGCAACCACAGAGGCCGAAGCAGCAGCAGGCTGAGGAGGAGGAGCATCTTGGACTGCACCAACATCATCATAATCATGGACTTCTTCCTCAGCATCTTCCCCAGCCGCAACATCTTCCATCATTCGACGCATGGCTGCTGGGTTCATCATTCCACCCATCATTCCATTCATGGGTCCCATCATTCCATTGCAGCCAGCCATCATCATAGGCGCCATGCCACCTCCCATCATGGGATTCATCATTCCACCCATCATGGGATTCATCATCATGGGATTCATCATTTGTCCCATCATCTGGGGCAAAGTGCGCTGTCTCTTGGCAGCTCGATTCACAGGGGCAGCTGGCATGATGATCCAATTAACTCAATTGTGTCAATTGTGATGGCTACACTTGCTTGACTCACTCACAGGCTGCAGCATGGTTTGTAACATTATTGATCTAACTACATTATTATCATGCATCGTTTTGATTCTATCGCCTAATCATGACTTGCACACCATACAACGTTATTGATCTAACTACATTATTATCATGCATCGTGTTGATTCTATCATCATCTAATATGTCTCAAATGTCTCAAAATGTCTCAAAATGTCTCAAAATGTCTCAAAATCACCTCAAAATTTCTCAAAATGGCATTTTGAGACATTTTGAGACATTTTGAGCATTTTTGAGCAATTTTGAGCCATTTTGAGCCATTTTGAGCAATTTTGAGCAGATTTTTGGGCAGGTATTTTGAGCAATTTTGAGCAGATTTTTTGGGCAGGTATAAGTACTTTTAATTTTGAGCAATTTTGAGCAATTTTGAGCAGATTTTGTGGGCATGTATTTTGAGCAATTTTGAGCAGATTTTGTGGGCAGGTGAGCAATTTTGAGCAATTTTGAGCAGATTTTGTGGGCAGGTATTTTGAGCAATTTTGAGCAGATTTTGTGGGCAGGTATTTTGAGCAATTTTGAGCAGATTTTTGTGGGCAGGTATAAGTACTTTTAAACAATTTTGAGCAATTTTGAACCATTTTGAGCATTTTTTAGCAATTTTTTTTGGGCAGATATAAGTCCTTTTAAATAAGTTTGAGCAATTTGGAGCAATTTTGAGCAGATTTTTTGGGCAGGTATAAGTACTTTTAAGCAATTTTGAGCAATTTTGAGCAGATTTTTTCTTTTGGCAGGTATAAGTATTTTTAGAAGAATTTTGAGCAATTTTGAGAAGTTCATACAAGTATTCATAGTTTTGAATATTTACATCCATGCACTTGACATTATGTATTCATATCTAAATTTAAATTCTGAAAGTATATTGTGTGAGTATATTGGTGAATATTGAATCCAACTGAAACAGCTGAAGCAACTCAATTGATTGACAATGACCAATTGACACAATTGAATCATGTACTGCAAATTGATGCTTGAGACAAAGACCATGCCTGCTGTTCGAAGAACGCCACCAAGGCCAATCATTCGATCTGCCTCACACATGGGGATGTCACATAATCTGGCTATGAAGCAATGCATCAGTTGAAACAACTTGGCAGTGAAGTTTTCTGGGATGACAAATTGACTCAATTGACTCAATTGACTCACTTGAGATAATTCTATGATTTGAGAACTACACACTTTGTGCATCCTATGTTAACTGAGCCCATCCCACCAAGCTTCATCAATGATCTGCCTAACAAACAACTTTGAACAACATAAACATGAAGCATCCGCTGCCATGACAGTGTTTCACCCTGCTTCTGCAACATGATCACCTTGCACTGGGATTAGCATTCACCTTTTTTAGCTTCCTTTTTGCATGGCTGTGGTCTTTATGAGCACTAGGTCATGGCTGTTCACAGGGACCATCCACTTGCAATGATCTGCGCAAAAACGTCATTGCTTCATTCTTGCTTAAATAAAACACGACAGCATGGGCTCATAGACTGGAAACAAACACCAAACCTTGATTTCTTTGTCTGTCAAAACCATTCACTGCTTTTTGCAATGACACAAATGACACAATTGATACAAATGACACAAATGCCACAAAATGATTGAGCTCAATTGGCCCAGAACATTAATTATGCATTTCACCGCCAAGATGAACAGGCATCAAGCTCTTCTTGACCTGGAGTACAAGCGCTTCTTGACAAGTTGAAGATATTATTTTGGATATCGAATATGACATCAATGTTTTTTCAACTATCATGAAAGCTCACTCATGACATGTCAAGCCAAGTTGCGAATTGCGTTGCGCAACCAGTCATTTGACTCGAACTTGTCCCCCCAGCGCAACAACATGTTGATCCTTGGCATTGACAAACACACAATTCCAAACAACAAAGCTGAACTTCAGAAACCAATTCACACAATTCAAACCATTGTTTGCCTTGACGCAATTCCAAACCTGTTGTCCAAGCTGTGAATCAAATATCTCAACATGCAGACCAGACACATAAGCTTGATCTTGTGGCTCCGGGAGATCTTGGCATTGGAGAGCATGGTCCGCACACCCTGGTTGATATTGTAGTCGGTCAGGACCTCAGTCCTCGGTCAGAATCACAGGCAGGCATGGCATGACACCACATGAAACAATGACATGATGCAAATGTCATAAATAATATTATATAATGAATTCACTCCTCTTCCAACAGCTGGACTGCAGCCATAGCACAACACCTCCTCCCATCCATCACCACCTTCAATATCACTGTCAAGCAAGCTCTGCAAGAAGGTAATCTGCTTCTGGATCATCTCCCGCACATAGGGCTGGCTGAGCTTCACCTATCAGCGACAAAGGGAAACAACATGATTTAATTAGATACCAATGGTATTACTCAACTGGAACCATGCAACATGTCATCCAATATGGCCACGACAAGGCTTTGTCAATTGAAACAATTGTATCCTGGCCTTCTTCTGCGCTGGGGTCATGGCTTGGAGCTCATCCACAAGCCCAAGACCTGGGGGCGGAGTGACCTCCTCTTTCTTGACGTTGGGCTGCTCCTCCTTCAGCTCCTCCTGTGGCTGCTCCTCCTTCAGCTCCTCCTTCATTGCCTCCCTCCCTGGTGGCTTGGGAGCTGGCCTGTCGGTTTTGAAGGCATGGCCTTGGCAGCCGGGGCTTTGCTGCCACTGGCAGAAGATGACGCAATTGACCGAAATGACCCAATTGGTGCTGTGGCAATGGGCCCAATTGGTTTGGGTGGAGGTGGACCTGGTGGAGCAGGCGGTATGGATTTGCCACGCAGAAATTTGATGCTAGCCTCTGGCCAAACTTCCCTCCACAGGTTTCTGGCCCTGTCCAGGCTATGCTCGAAGTCATCCTCGGTCCAGGCCACACCTGTCAAGTCGTCGAAAAGGTTCTGAGTCAGGGTTCGCAGGTTCCTTAGCAACACTGAGCGACCAACAAGTCGTTGAATGAGTCAATTGAGGCAATTGAATCAATTGAAAACATTACAAGAATCAATTGAGGCAATTTAATTGGGGCAAATGTTGATGGTTAAAAACCATTAATGTTTGAAGACAGAACTTATTGTGAATGTAAGAGAACTGACTTGTTTCGCATTTCGATCCCACAAGTTTATCACTACAACCCCCCAAGTGAAGCATCCAAACAGCTCAGCTCAATTTGAGGCAAGACACACATTGGGCGAACCCTGAAGAAACGCAATGGTGTTACAGGAATCCAGCTGCGGATTCATGCTCAGCTTTGCGCTGTAGAGCACCACTTCGCACCCTGCCATCTGCAAGATCCGGATGATGGCACTGGCCGTCCCAAGTGTCCGGTGCCAGCCCCAACTGCAAGTCAGCCTCAGCAAGACAAGTCTGAATGTGTAAACGTTGAAGCTTTGACTGAGGGAAATTGCTCTTCTGAAATTCACATCAAAACTGTGAATTGCTCCAACACATTCAAATGACACAATTGCAAGCATCACAAGAAGAATAATAGGTCAAGACTAGCCAAATGCAGACAGGAAACCGGACGATGTTCCCTGGCCGGGACAAAATGTCCAGGACCACCGACTTGAACTCGCTGTGGCGGATGACCTAAATAAGAGAAGTGCTACAAGGACTATGGACAAAGGCCCATGGAGCAATTGATCCATAACAACTGGCTCAATTGACAGCGCATGCCATTTGACAACAAATG